GGCTAAAAATTAAGGTATTAGTTGATGAAATTAGGGGGAAAAAGAGTCACCCTCAAAAGATCATCACTTGCGGTCAGAAATAGATCTAATAAAGAGGTAACGAATGGGCCGCAAAAGCCTAAAACAGACTTCTAACAGATTAAGGAATGGAGCCTGCTGGATAGAAGAAGTAGACACCCAGTAAAAGGGGGAAAACACCTCCTGAAACCATCCAGCAGAACCAACTGAAACAGAATTTAGAATGAAAGTAATAAGATAGCATCAACAAAACCCATTTAAGACCGAAGAAGAATTAGAACATGTTTCATCCGAGATTAAAATGTAAATGGGAAAATATAAGCAAAGCAAATTTCCAAAGATTCAATAGTTAGAGGCCTGATTAATATCTGAAAGTGATGCTCTTCTCTTCAACCCCACCTCAGCTCCCCACCCGCCCCTAGGAACACTGGTTTCAGTGACTTCCTAGGGACATTGAGCTGTTGTGTGAAAATAGGAAGATGAGGTGAAGAAGAAAAGGAGAGAGGATAAAGGCAGATGGAGTTGAAGCTTAAAAATCCATCACATACAGGAAATTTAAATGAGAAAAGTGTTTACTCCAAGTTAAATAGTTCCTTCGACTTGTCTTTAGGTGGGGAAGAGGAGATAATGACCTGTCAGGATCCTTTTATCCTAAGGGATCCGTATTTCCAGAGGTCCCATGTTAAGAGGATGCTGACCATCCAGAGCAGCTGGGTGGACTGTGGCAGGGCCCAGTGGAGGGCAGGGCCTAGACCCAGCCAGTGGAGGAAAGGGTAGTGACCGGACCCTAAAGTGTAGACTGGCTTGCTTGCTCGGCTGGATAGAAAGCAGGGAAAGCAGTGGAGAGGAATAGACTCAAACTGTAGGGTTGTCCCTCAGTGCCCACGGGGGATTGCTTCCAGGAGCCCTGCAGATTCCAAAATCCATGGATGCTCAAGTCCCTTATATAAAATGGTGTAGTATTTACATATAACCCATGCACATCCTCCCGTATATTTTGGTTCATCTCTAGATTACTTATAATACCTAATACGATGTAAATGCTATGTAAGTAGTTGTAAGTACAATCAATGTAAATACTGTGTAAATAGTCGCCAGCCCGTGGCAAATTCAAGTCTTGCTTTTTGGAACTTTCTGGAATTTTTTTTTTTTTTTTTTTTATCATTTTCCATCCAGGGTTGGTTGAATCCACAAATGCGGAAGCAGAGGAGACAGAGGCCAGACTGTAACCGCCTGCATTTGCAGAGCTGGAAAATGGGGCCTTAGTGTGGCAATTACTGAGTTGGTGGTTGGTTTATATGTTTCGATGAAAAAGAAGTTTTAGTTAAAAATCAGACCTAGGAAGAAATAGATTTAATTTTTGAGAGCAAAGTTTACCCCTTCATATACCAAAACTTTTTTAGTGTTTTCCTTTTGAAATGGAAACCTTTTGCAAATTTATATCGTTCTTTTTCCTCACCTTCTCAAACACAGGACTAGATGTTGAACTTATTCTAACCTTTCCATGGGACTCAGGGTTATCATCCTGAACGCTAATCATGACAACCTGCAGAATGGAGATATCCTTGCCCCCGATGTCATGTTCTGTGGCCCTGTACTAAATGGCTTCAGGCAACTGCATTTTTAAGTTCTGGTGGCTTTTGAGCGTTGTGCCTTTTTTTCTTCTTTTGCTGTTAGTGCATCTACCCACAGATGTTGTACCTTTCCCTTATAATTTTCTGTTTCCAGACTATTATGAACTTAGAAACTAGACAGTTGATCTTAATTATGTGTAGATTAAGGGCAAGCAAGTGCTGAGGGAGGAGATAACGATTTTTTTCCAATGGTAGTGATCTAATGTTTAGTGTGAACTATGACTAAATTTCGAGTACCAGGAACATGTATTTTCTGCTTCTCAACTATATTTGGTAACAATATATAATTTGAGTCACTGAAAGGTGCCATGAAAATTATCCTAACAAAAAGCTAGAATTTGTTACGAATTATGGTGGGAATGAAGAGGGGTTTCTAAAACTTGGGAGTGGGTCTGGTTCAAGGACACTTACCCATTAACTCTCAGGGCATCTCCATCTGCCCAGCTGGTCTGTTTGCAGCCAGAATGATGGGCACCCTCTCCCTGAGTCGCTTTCAGCTCTGACACAGGGCTCCGCTGGGCTTGCATAGTTCCAGCTCGCTAAGGGTGTGCACACAGACTTTTGTACTCACGAGGATGTCTGGGCTTTGAAGTATTGGCAGATACCATTTTTTATGATAGCGGTGAATTGGTACTTTGGCCTTTTAAATGGAAGAGTTGTCTGGGAGACATTCTGATATCTGCATTTCAGCTCTTCTGGTTGAAAATGCAGCTTTGCAGGAGGACTGCCACAGGTCACTGTTAGGAAAATTCTCTCACTATAGTTAGGACTTTTAAGCCCCAGAGCCTTATGATTATGGATCTGGTCTTGCAGTTGCATCCCATCAACCTGATTATTGCTGTCTTCTAGAAATGGATTAAGTCCTGTGGAAAACTAAAAGGAATAAAAAGTCCTCCACTTAGACTTCTTCAGTTTCTGTTTCAGTCTCAGTCCCATGGCACAGTGCCCTTGATACATTAGAATGATATCTCGTGGAGATCCCACGTCCTTCTGTAGGTTGGACCGGGGAGGCTTCCTACTTCCACCAGGTTCTTGCACTTGGGGTGGGAGGTAAGGCAGAGGAATGGACTTCATTTGCATCACCTGATTTTGAATATGCCCTTTAGAATTAATAGTACCTTTCAGTAAGCTGCAAGGAGTGCCGTTTACTAATGACTCTTCACTGCAAATGTTTCACCCTGTTCCTTTCAAACTGTGACCACTGATTCTTCTCATAGTCTTCCCTCCTTACGAATCACTTCAAGACATACAGAAATAAAGTTAGATGTCATTTATTTATTTAAAGGGATTTATTAAGTATTACCTGTGCGAAGAACTCTGTATTAGTTCTGGGAGGTTACAGTCTTGTGCGGGGACACAGAAAAGTATATGGTTCAGTTACAGAGCCAACCCTCAGCAGAACTGCATGACTAATTGATAACGATTTCACTTGTCAGCCATCTCTGGAGCCTTCCTTATGCCATGCAGGATGTACAAGGCCAAAGCGCGAGAGTTAAACGTTTAAACCTTGTCAAACAGACTGACCAGTGAGGATGGGCCTGGTGGAGTAGCTTTCATGGAGATGAGAGTAAGAGTGGTTCTGAAAGGCCAGGAGGATTAGATGAGCAGAGAAGAGTGGAAAGCAGCAGCGGAGGGACAGCAGGAAGGCGCAGGTGAGAACGGTGCACACCTGGGTCAGCGGGGCCATCAGCACGACTTGGGTACATTCAGAAGCAGGCCATGTGTTTGAAGCAGGATGAGGAGAATTGAGAGCCGTTAACATTTTGAGCAGAAATGTGTTCGAATTAAGCTGAAGGAAGACTCGTTTGGTATGTGAAACGAGTGAAGTTAAGCCAGCAATGGGGCTGCCGTAATAATCTAGCCGTAGGTTTCCAAAAGCCTAGACTAGGATGGAGCTAGTGAGAATGGAGAAATGAGAAAACAGAATCGTATACAACCGACTTTATTTTATTTTTATAACTTGAGAGGCCATATTCTTAAAGTTTAGTGGTAGTTGAGATATGGGAAGACCCTCCAGATGTAAGGGAGTCCCCAACTGTATGGCAGGTTAAATGAAGTAGAGAGGAGGGGATGTTAGGAAAGAGTAAGAAAGATGACAGAGAATCTACATGACGTGAGGACATGCTGGTAATTCCATAAAATTAATACAATTAATAAAATTTTTGCTTGGCTTCCTCAGAATTTAGTTTGAGATGGAAAGAAGTTTAAGAGAAGGCTTGAATTTATTTGTAGTTTTGAGAAAAGAGTGTTCAGCTTTCATGGAGAACTTTTTCCCTCCTTTATTATCAATGACATACCCCCATTCTCTTGACAGCCAAACCAATGTCCAACCTGGAAATCTGCTTTTGTTTTTCTTCACTTCTCTCCTTAATCTCTGTATCCAGTCACCCACACTATCTAGTTTTCCTTCTAAAAGTCTACTTTATCATCGTCCTCTCCTCAGCATACCTAATGCCTGTCACCTAAGCTCACCTACTCTCATATTTCTTTCATTGAATATTGTTAACTGACCATCTTACAGGTACTTAGGTGGAAGGGGCTAGTCCTTGTTAGAATTCAAAATGTCAAAGGGTAGCCAAAAGTAGGGAGACATGAAATTTTCATTTATGAATAAAAAAATCTTTTTCTGTAACTGTCAAAGCAGTGGTCCGTCTGCTGCATCCTGAAAGGAGACCACTGACTGGAGATTCTGATAATGGCCTCTGTTCAGGATCTAATCCAAGTAGGGAATCCGCACGTTTTATAAAGGATGGGGAGGGGCATCCCGACTTGAACCGAAGGATGGTGAGAGGGAAAAGAACCCACACCTTGGATGGTACAGATGGCACTGCTTGAGCCTTTTATCTTTCAAGAGGGGCATCCCTTTCAGGAGCGAGAGCCAGCTGGGCTTCTGGAAATTGTTCTTGGAAACTTCTGGAAGGGACGACACCAGAGTCTTTTCCATTATTAGAATGAATCACAGAAGACAGAATGCCCCTGGTTATCAGGAAAACCAGGACAAGGAATCACTTGTTTTCCCCTGTGCATTTTCTTAGTCTGTTTCCCTGGAACGTAATAAAGAAGCTAAAAACATCCTAAACGTTTTAGGATTTCTCAGCTGTATTATGTCTTTGCAACACGATTTACCTAAAGCAATGTGGTAACCAGAAGTATTTCAAGATAAATATGGCATAACACACACTTATATAATCAAAATAGTTAAATCCTAACACCGTAAGGCCAGGTTATGATATCGAGTACAGCATTCTTCATGTGATTCATATCCTTATATTTATGGTTTAACATAGCCAATCTGAATATTGATGATGTTATTTTCAGCCAGTAAGAATATCCATTCTGTTTTTTCAGCTTCTCCAGTTGGCAACGGTTATATCAAGCCTCCAGTTCCGCCCGTATCTGGCACACAAAAGGAGAAAGGGCCACCAACCATGTTACCCATCAGTGTGGACCCAGACAGCAAACCTGGAGAATATGTCCTCAAGAGTTTATTTGTCAACTTCACCACTCAGGCTGAGCGCAAGATTCGAATCATTATGGCAGAACCCCTGGTGAGTATGCACAGGAGACTTGCATCTTTTTAAATTCATCTTGACACTGAATATAGATTTTACAGCTCTAAGAAAGGATGGATGGCTTTCCCCCTAGTTTCCAAATGTTTGATACCATAGGTAATTTTTAAAAGATAATAGTTCAATTTGCTGATTTAAGAAAAAAATTGTGGATGCAGGACTTCAAAACAATCCTTAGCCAATACAGTTCAGCAGCACGCTTCACCACTGCATTTAGGACAAATCAGCATAATTTAACGTTAAGCCTAATTTAACGTTATTAATCATAGAGAAATTGTGTTCATAGCCTCTGCTGTGTCATATACTTTAGTCAAAATCTTTTGTCCTATTTTTAAAATAAAAGAAAAAAAAATCGTCATTCTTCAAGGGCTGGCCTGAGCTCCCAGTCTGAGAACATATGGTCTCAGTGACATCTTATCCGAGGAAATTTTTTGGTGAGTCATTCAGAAATACCACTCTGTTATCTGAAAATTGGAAGACCGGAAATTCTTGACTCAGTTACCTTTAGGTCCATTCTTAGATAGATAATGCCCTTCAACGTCAGTAGTCAGTACTTTCTTTGCAAATGATTCTGCTGCAAAATAAGGCTTGTGGCTTCAGTCTTATGTTCATTACTTCAACAAGGGCTCTAAGGACAGTGTGCTAAATCTCCAAAGGACAGTCAGAAAGGAAGAAAGTCCAAATGGAAGATTCAGATTACTTGTTTTCTGACCTTGGTAGGCCACACACAATAAGAGAAAGGAAAGGAATTCAGAGTGACGCAGCTCTTTGTATGAAGCTTGGCTTTGTACCTCCTGTGAGGAGACTGGGACAGGAGAAGAGGTCTGGGTTTGGCTTTAAGGCAGGGGTCTCCAACCCCCGAGCTGCTGAGCTGTCTCGTTAGGAACCAGGCCGCACAGCAGGGGGTGAGCAGCGGGTGAGCCAATGAAGCTTCCTCTGCGGCTCGCTCCCCATTGCTCGCATTACCTCCTGAACCATCCCCTGCCCCCCATTTCTGTGGAAAAACTGTCTTCTATGAAACCAGTCCCTGGTGCCAAAAAGGTTGGGGACTGCTGCTTTAAGGCATCATAGCTTAAAATAATTGAATGTAATATTAAGCCTACTGCCCAAGTCCCAAAAAAATACGTAACGGGTGATATTCAACATCATCTGTTAAAAATAACCTTTATAAGAATCACAATTTAAGGTTTGGGAATCAAAATTCAAGAATATTTAAGTGTACGGTTGCCCGAAAGTTACAAACTTTGCATTTTAACGTTTTTATTAGATCAGTGAATACTAACTTCCTATTAAGGAAAATGTTTTCTTGGTTTTACAGTTTAAATCATTTATAATAAATGAAACCTTAGTACTGTACCTTTTCCCCATTCACCCATGTTTTTGTGTTTTTAGTACTCTTGCTACTAATAATAGCTAATATTTCTGGAGCATTTACTATGTGCCAAGCACTGTGCTTAACTTATGTCCTTTAATCTTCACGATGACCTTAGGTAGGTAGTATTTATATCCCTGTTTATAGATGGGAAAAGCTGGCACAGAGAGGGGAAAGTAATTGCCCGAGGTCACACAGCATTGATTTGAATTCAAGCTCGTTCTCTTCAGAGCCCACCTCGGAACCATTCTACACTCTACTGCCAGTCATTTTCATGGAAAGATATCTTCTTTCACTTTTTTAAACAAGCCAATACAGGGCTCCCCATAACTTGAGTCCAAAACTCACGTGCCCAAATTCCCATTGCTCCAAACAGTCCCGATCCCTGGGACCCTCTGAGCTCCTTGAGAGGTGCCGAGGCAGCCCAGGCCCCCTCCCTCTGCCAGTGCGGGTCGGGAGCCACCTGGGTTCCAGAGATCATGGTGGGGAGTTAAGGAGGAGAGAGTGGGAAGGCACAAAAAAGAATCGTTTCACTCCTTGACAGTGGAACAGTGCCAAAGTAGCAGGCCAGGGCTCTCTGAAATTGTGTATTATGGTGGATTTTCCCAAGAAACTGGGAAGTTGTACAGTAGTTGAAAGAGGTGCTTAGAAGGCTAGATCCTGAGCCATCCCTGTTTCCAAAATAATCGTTTAGATACTGTTACTTAAGAATTTATGAAGTAAAATAGTTTAGGTTTAACTTTTTCATCTTTAGTTTACTCAGTTTGGCACGTGTTTGCATGACATTTTTCTTCCTGGAGTAAACATCATGTCTGAAAAAGTAACATGTACCACAGCTTTCTTTTAATTAGAGGTAGCCATTTTTGTTCCTTTCTATGTGACAAAAGTCCCCAAACAAGAAAAATGGAAAAGAAAAAGTGCAAGTCCTCTTCATGAGCAAATTTTCATTGTGTGCCCAGGGTGAGAGAGTTTGTTAGATGCTGATGGCCAAGTAGATGGACATTGTGTTTTTAGCTGAAGAAATGTATTCAATCAATTTTCAGTATCGTTGCTTTTTATAAAAAGAGACTATTTGCTCCCCTTGTATTTTTTGGCAGAGCTTCTGTGCCATTTCCATTTCTTGTCTGCTGAGAAGCGCTTAGTAATTTTTGCCCTTGTATTTGCTTACTTATGGGACAATAAATGTGAGTAGATTCTGTGGCTTGTTACCTGATTCTAATGTAAATGTGCACTTGGCATTTGTTCTGTAGCCATAGCAAGAAGAGGTGTTATTTTTGGTGCATGTGTAGTACATTTAAAGGGAACTCCAAATAAATGTGCCCTACTATTTCTTTTGCTGAGGTTGGCTTTATTTAGAAAGATGTTGAATCTTTTAAAAACCTGGATTTATGTGAGCTTGTATCATATCACAAAGTTGTATTCTGTTATCTCTAATATAATTAAAACCTGTATGGAATAGCAAAGGTAATTTTTAAAAATTTTGTAGTATAGATTTATTATCTATGGGGCTACTCAGGAATCTGTATTTTTCAGTTTTATTTAAAAAACTGAGTCCTTCAGAATTCCACATCAGTTAGACTGTGTGGGATCAATTATATACAATATTAAATTAAAGTTGTATTTACGAATTACCAGTATCCAAATAGGTAACTTAAATGGGGAAGAAAGGACAGGAACAAAAATGTTCTACCAAAATAAAATATTAGATATTTTTCTTGTTAAACATCTTTCACTGGTTCAGCAGTATTGTTCTTTGTATCCAAAAGATGCTCAGATCATATTCATTAATATTTATGGATAAGTCAATAATTTTATTCTATTTTTGTTGCTTCATGGGGTCATTTGATAGCATTTGCTCTTGGCTGGTACCATTATTTCACCTTTCCCAAGCGAAGTGTTTTAAACAAGGTAAATTGGGTCATCTGTATCTTTTTTATATTTTTATTTCAAAACAGAAAAAGTACAGAAAACAATGTAACAGATGCTTTCCCTCTTGCCTCCTACTCCTTTCTCCTGGTTTAAATTTTCTTTTTCCCAAAGTATATCTTTTTGTAGTTCTTTAAGTAACAGTCAGTGGGTGGGAAATCACTCAGTCTTGTTTATCTTGGATGCCCATATTTTCCCCTCAATTATCAGTGATAGTTCAGCTAGGAATAGAATTCTAGTTTGACATTTATTCTCCTTCTAGACTTTTGACAATATATTTCACCATGTTGCCTCAAGCATTGCTGTTGAAGAGTCTGGTTGATTTGCTATTTGTGGATTATTTACTTTTTTCTCTGTTTGCTTTTATGGTTTTTTGCTTTGCGTATAGTGTTCTGCAGTTTCACTACATTGTGTGCTTAGTTGTGGATTTATTTATTTTTTATATATATATTTTTAAAATTTTATTTTTGGCTACACACAGGCTTTTCTCTAGTTGAGGCGAGCGGGGGCTACCCTTCGTTGCAATGAGCGGTCTTCTCATTGCAGTGGTTTCTCTTGTTGCAGAGCACAGGCTCTAGGCACACAGGCTCAGTCGTTGTGGCACACGGGCTTAGTTGCTCCGTGGCATGTGAGATCTTCCCGGACCAGGGCTCGAACCCGTGTCCCCTGCATTGGCAGGCGGATTCTTTTTTTTTGTTTGTTTGTTTGTTTGTTTGTTTTGTTTATTTTGGTACGCGGGCCTCTCACTGTTGTGGCCTCTCCCGTTGCGGAGCACAGGCTCCGGACGCACAGGCTCAGCGACCATGGCTCACAGGCCCAGCCGCTCTGCAGTATGTGGGATCTTCCTGGACCGGGGCACGAACCCGTGTCCCCTGCATTGGCAGGCGGACTCTCAACCACTGCGCCACCAGGGAAGCCCCTGGCAGGCGGATTCTTAACCACTGCACCACCAGGGAAGACCCTGGATTTATTTTTATTTTCTTGTTTGAGACGCATGTTTCTTGAATTGAGGGTTCATATCTTTCATCAGTTCTGGAAAATTCTTAGCCATTAATTATTTGAATATTGTCATTTCTCCACTTTTCCTCTTCTCTTTTTCTGGCATTCATATTAGATGTACATTGGACCTTCTCATGATATATTACATATCTTTTTACCCTTCTTTAATTATTTCTACCTCTCTGTCTCTGGCTACTGCATTCTGAGTAATTTTCTCAGGTCTATCTTCAATTTATTAATCTTATCTTGGGCTATGTCTAATCTGTTGTTTAATGTGCCCAGTGAGAATTATAATTTTGGTGATAGAATTTTTTATTTCTAGAAGTACTGTTTTAAAATCTATTTAGGTGGGTTTTATTTTTTTAGGTTTTTTTAGGGGTTTTTTCCTAACGTTCAGCATTTCTTTTTTCTGTCTTTGATCACCTTAAACATACATTTCTGTGTATGTCCTCTTTTAGGTTAGCCCCAGAGTCTTCACCATCTGGGCCAAATATTACGTTAATTTCTTGGTTTGCAAGTTTCTGCACCTAGCAGGTGATAATAAATGTAAGCTCCAAACTCTTGTGAGACTTGAGACTGTGGTTTCACATTCTTGGGGAGGATTTTGTTGTTGTTGTTTTTACCTAGAACCCAGGCAGGGGTCATTGGAATATCTTTTCATCTCCCTGTGCCAGTGCATAGA